TGTGAGCGGAAAACACACTACAAAACGCTCAGTGTGAATGGGGTCTTAAAGTGACATTAAGGCCAAATTTATTTTCCTCCCCCCACAGTGCTAATGTAAGTTCTTACCTTAAATGATGTCTGTTAATCCGACCATCTTCTTCTTTAGTGTAGTTTTAAGCTGTCCCTCCAGCACTGGTTCCGGTCTCCGATCCAGTGCTGACTCCTCTGTCCTCCTATCTGATGTCCCACGGTGTCTGTGCGTGTGCACGCTGCTCCATAGACTTACCTTGTGTCCCTCCACGTCTCCCGGCTGAACATCTGAACTGTGCATGAGTCCGCTCTAAGATCTTTTGCGGGCGCCCGAGAAATGTTCAGATGTTCGGACGGGAGCGCGCGGCGGAGACATAGGTACGAATTAACCCTTTGAAAACGTTTTTTTTTTTTTATTAATCGTTTTGCATATATCTACTGCTTGCTAGCAATAGATATATGCAAAAACATGCAAGGGTTTAATAACCCTTTAAGTAAGCGAAAAAAACAAATTTAAGATAAATTTAAGATAACACTTCATAATAAGACAGAGCAGCATTTTTTTTTCCCCCGAAAAAAAGTTTCAGCTATATGAATAAAAGGGCACCATTGTAAGGCACCCATGGAAGTAGCAAATGGTTTCTCCTAATCCCTGTAGCTGTCACTTTTGGTGGGCAGCTTGGCCTGCATGCAAATATGGAAAGAATACACATATAAGGCTTAGAAAAAAATAAAAAGGGAATTCATATACTGAATACATTCTTTACAAGTATTAACCCCATACAGGTACCAGGATACAATGTTTTGTCTCTTTATTGGGCCTTTAATATAAAAAAAATTTACAAGTGAAATAGGCATTGGATGGCTTAAAGAAAAACTCCCCTGGAATTTTCTTATTAATCCTTGCAGTGGGGCTACCTCCTCACTGCAAGGGTTAACTGCTCATTTTTGCCTAGGTGCTAAAATAGCAAAGATATACTCACCCGAAGCTCCGAGCCCACCAGCTGTCACAGTGCTCCCCCTAGCCTGACCCCTCCTCCGCAGCCCATTGGAATCTTCCTCGGCATCCTCACGTCAATGCACAGTGTACAGACGTGATGATTTACTGGACATTGCAGGGATCGGTCTAAGAAGGAGCCGACTAGTTATATATAAATCGTCACATTGAAATAATTCAAGGCTAATTATTCATATTCCTACGCAGGCTCAGGTGTCACAAGTTCTCTTTACAGTAAAAATGTAATAAAATATAACAACTTCCTTTTTTTCTTTTTCCTTGGCTAAGTGAAAACAAAGAAAAGTGTAAGATAAGCCATGTTGTGCTGACATGACCAGGCAGAAGATATCCAGATACAGATACCTCATTGAAAGACACCTAAGCCTTCACATCAGTTCATAAAACAAATGGATTTTCTCCAGTGGCAGAAACAGAAGTTCCACTAAGTCAAACGGTTCGATGCGGAGGACTAGAGACACGATCCTATTTAAGACCTATTTAATAAAGAATGTCAAACAAACACAATCTTTTGTTAAAACATTTCGTTTTCTACCTCCATTACTGATCAGGTTCACTCAGAGGCCAAATACACCTACTGATAACAGAGATTAGGATGTGTTTATCACCTTTATATATCAGGAGGAATTCCTCTGTGGGGTTTCCACCGAGCATACGTCAGTGAGACATGATTAAGAGAGATGAGCGCCAGACACGGACATGTCTGGAGTTATGAAGAAGCCAACATTGGCGTAGTTTGACCGTGCCTTCATGGTATAGATGGCTGTTGTAAGTTTAGGTAAATGTGATTCATGAACGATGCTAAAAACCAGTGGCACTAAATAATTCTGTATATGAAACAAATATGTTAACTCCAGACAGTGGTATAGCTAGAGAGGTAAGGTCCATGGAGCAGAAATTGGGTTAGGTTCAGGTCTCTTATTGCCCTCCCTCGTCTTGCTGGGCAGCCCATCACCAACTTAATGCCCCTGTGTGCTTAGATAAGTACTGAGTGCTCTAACCAGATATGCTGGATCTGCAGAGCTATGCAGAAAAGCATAAAGTGACACTAAACTCAGGAGTCCATGATGGATTACAATCTCAATACAAATTAGGAAACCAACGTGAGGATGTAATCCATTACGGGAGTGAGCTTGGAGCGGTTGCTACTTTACAATACACAGAGGGACCAAGAGGAACAAAAGTAGCCACCCTCCAGAAGGAAGGCCAGTGTCAGCACCAATTCAGAGATGATTTGAGGATCTACAGCCAAGTGATAGATAAATAAGATCCATTTTTGTTAATAGTTAAGGTACTCAAATGCATTTTAAGTTTTAACTCCTACGTTTAGTGTGGCTTTAAGGACTGGCATAAAGTGCAGCATTCCATGCACTTGATCATGTGATGGAATGTCACATGACCAAGTGCAAGGCACACCTATGGAAGAGTTGCTGTGCTTGCCGTGTTGCTTCCCTGCTTATTTCTTCAGTGAGGGATCCAGAACATTCTCTTAGCACACAGAGCAGGGAGGCAATTGCTGTTATTCAAGCTTCTACTCCTCAGTTTCCAAAATAATATCAAATGAATATATTAGGCTCAATTCACTAAGTTATAACAGACATATTTTGTCATTACAAGTATGGTTTTTTTTAGCAAGCAAAACCAATGAGAGCTGAAAGTATCATGTATAATCCATAATAATATATAATACAAAATAATCCTTATTGCAAATAACACAGGTTACAGAAGTTCAGCCAATTCTCAGTTATAATCCATGACTAATATGTCTCTGTCCAAGTGGTTTGGGGTATTCAAGAAGCCAATTATAGAAGCTTTTTTTCTATCACATTCTTTTCTACCTTAAGGGGTTTAGGTAGAAAAGAAAAAAAAAGCCTGCCAAGCATCTCGATTTATAGGCAACATTACTGTTTAGGGACTGTTTAGACTCCTGCTTGCTATTCATGCTCCCACTTTACAAATTAGCCACTTGAAATTTTTGCATGGCCTCTGTTTGTTCTGGTTTTCAGTGGCTTTCTTTTTCGGGCCCACTTGCCATTCAAGTCAGTCAATATGATTCTCTCTCCAAAATAGCCAGAAAAATCTACAGATGCAGACACTTCCAAATCAAATGATCTTTAAAGGTGTGGAAGTAGAATGGTGTTTTTCTAATTCCTGGCATTTTGGTCAATTCCTTTTGTCCAGTCATGTTTTGTTCCTTCAACATGAAAAGTGATACGCTGCTACTAAATGGATACAAAAATCCCTCTTCAGACATAACATACTGCAGTCTGCTTGTGCATCCATATAAAAGCACTTACAGCTCTCCAGCATTAGCCTTTAGTTCTCCTTAAACTACACAATGAGCGTAGAGGAGAAAACATTTCCAATTAGTGGCCAGTCTACAAAATTCCTACACTAGATCTACTGGGAAGAGATTGTTATTGCTGCTAAATACCACGTATTATTAGGCTCCTTATTAGAACCCGAGTCTCCACATCATGCGAAAACCTTTGCAGTCTCATGGGTGCAGTTTGGTTTTAGGAATCTCAACCCCAAACCCAATAAGCTGCAGTATTTGTGGGTCAAATATCTTGTCCTGCCTCCACACCCCATTTTTCTACTATTTTGTTTGTTTGGCCTTTTTATTTATATATAAATATATATGCTTTTTAAAAATATTATATATATATCTATATAGATATAGATATATCTATATAGATATATATATAAAATGTATATTAAAAATAATATAATAGTCATAACTTTCTTGTCGTAACAAAGGCTCAATCCACCCATTTCAGTTCTTGGTAGATGCTTAAGTATTAAACAACCTGATCTTACATTTCTCAAAAACTCTTTTGGGGAGGAGATTTCTGCACCGAGGTTCTGGGTCTGCACATCGGCTGTGGCCATTATGAAGTTCCCACACTCCTTGTTGACACTTTTATTTATGTTATATTAGAAAAGTGCAACAGGAGATGCTGGAACACACAGAGGTGGGAAACACATCCAAATCCTACAGGGAGACATACATTTTTGTAGGGAGATCTTTCTATTGCAGTTACAAAGAAATATAGGAGGACAGGAGCAGATTCAGTCCATCATGTTTTGGGGGGACTGGCTCAATAAAAATATTATTATTCTTTCTTTTGTTCTCTTTCCATTTCACTGGCTGATAAATACAGAAAAAAATCTCCAATCAGCATTTAGTTTGTATTTGAACGCAGAATGACAAAATATACCAGCAGTAATACATGTTTAGGAAACCATAGTCTGCTGTGCCATATTATGATCATACAAAAAAAAAACCCACTTTCAGATCTAAAAAAGGATTCTGTCTGGACTTTTAACAGTCCATTGACTTTAGTTGCTTACTATAATTATTAGGGATGCACCGATACTAGCATCAGCATCGGTGCCGATACCGAGTATTTGGACGGGTACTCGCCCAAATGTTCCTGATGCCTATCCCGATACTGGAACTTTCGGTACCAAGAAGCCGGGCAGCAAGTCATTACACGCTGCCCGTCTTCCTGATTGGCCGGGAAGCCAGCTCCATGCTCCCTCATCAATTCGGTATTCACTCGCTGCCCTGGTTTCTGATGGGTTGAAAAGCGGGCCAATCAGGAAGTCATTACTCGCCCCCCGGCTTCCTGATTGACCAGAAAGCTGGCTCCGTGCTTCTTCGTCACCTGGTGACGAGGTAACATGGGGCCGGCTTCCCGGCCAATCAGGAAGCTGGGCACCGTGTAATGACTTGCCGTCCAGCTTCCTACTTGGTCGGGAAGCTGGCTTCATGCTTCCTCGTCACCTGGTGATGAGGAATCATGGAGATGGCTTCCCAGCTAATTGGTAAGCTGGGCGACCAGTCATTACATGCTTCCTTAATGGGACTTCCGTTATCGGCGAGTACCGGAAAAAAAATATCGGTACTCGATACTGAAAAAACGGTATCGGTGCATCCCTAATAATTATATAAAGAAAAAAATACTTACAGCATCTGTAACTGGAATTTCATAAACCTTCTTGAAATCCACCAGGTCAAAGAATACCAGCATTCCGCTACCTTCTCCTTTCTTGACTGAAGTTCCAGTAATCAGGAGTTTATCATCTGGGCTAAAACAACAGTCTGTCCTGTGGAAAAAATAAGGAAACAATTGCCAATTTATTTAGGTAGCATTTGGCAAATATACTTGGACCACAAAAAAAGTGTGTGTGGGGGGTGCGTGTGTGTAGGGTGTAGCCCCACTGCAAGGGTTAATTTTAATACATCCTGGAGTTCTTCTTTAATGGGTTTACAAATATTTTAATGGTTTTGGTATGGGGTTTCATCACACTTGTCAAAAACAAAAATTACACCCAATAAAGAAACAACTCCTTAGGCTTTTAGTGCAACCAGCTGAACTGTGACTAGATGCTGCTCATTCATGTATGTCAGGGCCCATTCGCAACACAGCATTGCAGTAACATTACATTCAATGGTGCAACACGGTTTCATATGATGTGAATGCCCCCCCACACCTGCATAGCAGCACATTGCAAATTAATGGGCTGTCTTAACGCAATGCATGTTAACATATGTGCATTAAACATATTCAATCAGACTACTCTCTGGTCAATGGGCCCATAGTGGTCTCATACCACGTTACAGCCAAAAGATCCACAACATTCTTACAGTATAATTAGCATTATTTGCAAACCAATAGTTGCAAAAGTACCCTGTAAAAAATGTTTATTATTTTTAAAAAAAGTTTTCATAAAATTAATATAAAAAAACATCAGTGTATACACTGGTTAACTTACAAAAAGGTGACTACAAAATGGGATATAATTATGGTTAGGGATTGTTTATGTGATCATAATGAATCCATGAGGAGCTCCAAGAAGTGAGCTATTCTGGCTTTATATTATACCTTAGTCACCAGGATGCCGATATAAGATTGGACGCAGGCTCTAGAGTGCAATGATGTTGTCTCCTTAGCATGTTGTTCTTCCCAGAACCATGACACAGAGCCTTAACAAATCGGAATAGACAATGCGGTATGTAATATAGAACCTTCTGTGTGTTACTCCTGTACATGTGACTAATTGTTTAATAACCATGTGCTTTAAACAGACAAAGAAACCAGACACAAACCAGGAACTATACAGTAACGGAATACTTACATTGGGAAGTAGTTGGACAAGCCGTTCGCCGTGTGGATAGGTTTCTTAAAGTTCCTCATGTCCCATGTTTTTAGTGTATCATCCCCTAAAATAATTGAGTAAATAATTTGTAGTAAGCGTTAATGAGGGGGCATTTTTAAAGAGACCATGAGAGAGTCACTGACTTAAAAGTAAAAGCACAAACATACAGGGTTTTTACATTTTTATGTGCATTGTTTTCCTTTGCTTAAACGAGTTTTTAAATCACTTGCAATTCCCTCATGACATAACCCCTTCTCCTTCTGGGAGTTCCCCCGCCCCCCCCCCCCCCCCCCCCCCCCCCCTCCTGTCATCTCCCTACATGACTTTTAAATAGCTGCCAAGGGAGGAATGAAGTGGAATACTATAGAGTGTCAGATCCAGTCTGCTGGAGCTTTTGACATTGCATACAAGATGGTGGCAGTCTCAGACCTTATGGATGTCTACACAAGAGAGGGTTTAACATGTAAGTATCATGAATAAAATATATTGAAGGCACATATCTTACAGAAAGATTGTTGTTGAAATGGTTTGGTGACAGGGTCTCTTTAAGCCTTCCCTACAGTAAATGATCATGTATACATGATAATTACCAGTAGAGAAAGCTTAGAGAGCATGACAATTGTAAAAGACCCTAACCATTAACCACAGAGATCTTCAGCTGATATTCACATAGATAATGAACAGCTGTGATGGAATACTAATCGTTCCAAGACCTCTAAGCAGGCACTGGTGATTAGCAGCCATCCAGACCAATTGTGTTTGTGGGATTTGCACATCGCTATAGTTGGCCAAGCCTGTTGAAGATTGTGCTAGCCATCACTTAGAAAACTGTTTGGGTCAACCTGTAAATATAGTGAAGATGTGCACAATGCAGTAACTTCTCACATCCAGTCACAAATCATCTCTCTGGAATATGAATTCAATAAACTAAAACGTCATTGCTTAGGATCAGTTACTTTAACCTTCTTCATTGCACCAGGTACTGCATTAGGGGACAAGCCTGAATACAAAGGTACAATTGAAGCAAATAAAAACTAGTGTTTATGTCTGCCCTCAGTGAACAGAGCTTTAAAACTCTCACTATGTTTACCATGATTTCTATGGTGGTAAAAGATTACATAGGACTTTATGGAGAACTTTGAGTTACACTCATAAGTCCCCATTGGTCATCTCAGGACTGTCTCTATCGGAGCACTCCATGGTCAAATATACACTGCCTCCTCAAAAAAAGTCACAGACTCTAATATTTTGTTGAACTGTCCTTATCTTTGATTACGGCATGTATTCGCAGTGGCATCAGTTCGATGAGCTTATGCAATGTCACAACACTTATTTGTGTCCAAAGTTGTATTCATTTTTCACCAAGATCTTGTAGTGATGATGGGAGAGTCGGACCACTGTGTAAAGTCTTCTCCAGCACATCTCAAAGATTCCCAATGGGGTTAAGGTCTGGACTCTGTGGTGGCCAATCCATGTGTGAAAATGAAGTCTCATGCTCCCTGAACCACTTTCACAATATGAGCCAGATAAATTCCCCAATGTGCCATCAGGGAAGAAAAAAGCCATTAATGGAAAAACCTGGCCATTCAGTATATTCAGGTAGACAGCTGACCTAATTTTTTGGGCACATAACCTAGATCTATTATCCAACGGAAGGTTCTGACCTATTTGCTTAGCTAAATCCAGGTGGTGACTTTTATTTTGGCCAGACAGCGTAGAAAACTCTATACAGACTAGATAACTAGAAAGACGAATCAAATCAAGTCCTATAAAATATTCACGTTTTTAATTTGAAGGCCATATGTCTGTAAATCACATTTATTAATGAAATATGACATAAATGTATCAAAAATGTAATAGTATAAAATGTTTTTCATTGAGATAACGATTGAAGCATGTGGATACAGTAACAATTAGATTTAGGACTATTAGTCTGCTTACTCTGCATGAACCTCAACCTAATTAGTAGGGATGCACCGATACCACTTTTTCAAGGCATGCACCGAAACCATTTTTTTCCAAGACCTGGTAGGAATACCGATACTTTTCCTCAAGTACCAATACCTTTTTTTAGTGCCATGTGACAGTTTTTCTAAAACAATACACAGTCATGATTTTAGGACAGTGGTGCAGTGCCAGGGCCCAGCTGCAACTGCTGTGACCCCCTGGTAATTCTGCCACTAACTCCAAGCTGTAGAGGGTCTACAAATCCCAGCAATACATTATACAACAACGCAGAATACCAAAGTGATAGAGGACTACAAATCCCAACACATCTATTATACAGAAATGCCGAATAACATGAAGCTACATACTCGGTGTTGATCACCAGGGCTGTGTGGGGTCTCAGGAGGCTGTGCGGGGTCTGACCAGTGCTGCGTGCAATCTCACCAGGGTTGTGTGCAGCGTCTCATCAGGGCTGTGAATTCTCACCAGGGCTGTGTGCAGTGACTCCCCAGGGATGTATATTCTGACCAGGGTTGTGTGCGGCGTCTCACGGGTGTGGGAGGAGGAGGCAATGTGCGGCTGGATCGGCAATGTAAAAAGACAGCCACCGTGAGGTCCGTACAAGGCTGCTGAGGTCCCCAGCAAGTGCGAGACCTCAGGCAGCTGAACCCATTAAAAAATGTATAGCACCGATATCAGCACTTAGTATTGTGGCATCTTTACGAGTACGAGTACTCGTGAAAATGCCCAGTATCGGCACCAATCAACCAACCAAGAACACCCAGTATTATGGACTAGATTAGTGAAGTTATCTTTTGTAATCTAAAGGAGACCTCCAGACTGAATGGTGGTACAATTCTGGGTTCTGCCGATTAAGATGCAGTGTGCTCCTTTATATGTATCATATGTGCATTTTGCTAAACAGCTTGAATCCAATGCTGTTCAAATTCCATCAAGCTAATATGGACTTTTTTCAGGATATCTGAACAGGCAAACATTAAATTCTCATTCAAATAGAACCTACAGGTAAGGGTGATAAACTAGCAATAAATTTTTTACGGTACACTCCATAACAAAGACTAGAGCCCACCACCTAAAATTGGTGTAGAAAAGATTTAACCACAAGGGGCATAGGGACTTTTTTCAGTCAGAGCGGTAAAGGTCTGGAACTTGCTGCCACAAGAAGTGGTATCAGCTGAGAGTATTGAATCATTCAAAAAGCATTTAGATACCTTTCTCAGAGACCGCAACATACAGGGGTACAGGTACACTTAAAAACAAGGACACACAGGGACTTGTGTACACACATACACAATCACACACAGACACACAAAGGTTGGACTTGGTGGACCTGTGTCTTTATTCAACCTCAAATACTATGTAACAAAGACTGCAAGCTGCCCAGGCCTGGAAGCAGCAAAGTAACCCCAAACCATAACATTTTCGCCACCATGCTTTACAGAAAGGTTCTTCTCCTGAAATACTATTTTCAATTTGTGCCAAACATATCTACTATTACTGTGGTCAGACAACTCTGTCTTTGATTTATCATTCAACAGCACATTGTTCCAGAAGGCCTCATCAATGGCAAACTGTAGTCTTGCTCTAATCTTCTTACTGGATTTTTTTTCTGGCACACCTCACATGCAGATTTAATTGGTGCAATCTTCTTTGACACCACTGCATCCACAACCTTATTTCTAAGAGTCTTAAAGATCTCATTTGATTCTAGCATGATGGCACCCCACACATGTCAATAGCAAATAGAACACCAGGACAGGTTACACCTGTATACTCAAGGAAGTTCTAATCATTCTTATCTAATCTGGAACACCCGTCTCTAATTTCATGGATCTGAAGTGGTGGTAAAAGTATGGGTGCATTTACTTTTTCCATGTGGCATATCTGCAATTTTGTTAAAGGAGAACTATGAGATGAGTGATTTCCACTCACCTCATAGTTCTAGCCGACCTGTGACAATGAGACTGTCACAGGTCGGCTCAGTAGATCGGGAGGTGAGCGAACACATACCGGGTTCGCTCACCTCTCGATCCTGTCACGGCTCTCTGCCGTGACAGGGGGAGGGGCTGGATTCCCCTCTCCGATCTGCCAGCGCTGACTGGCGGAACGGAGGGGGAAGGGGGCGGGTACAGCTGGCTCTGCCTCTAGATAGGCAGAGCCAGCTGTCACTCACGCAGCTGGGCGGATCTCGACGTCGATGCCGGGATCCGCTCCGGCGTCTCAGTATACCGTGAGACGCCGGAGCTTAGGGTAACGGGAGGACGCTAGTTTGTGTCCTCCCATTACCCTAAGGAGAACTATGGGGAAAAACACTGACCCCATAGTTCTCCTTTAATGTAGATTATGAGAAAGAATACACCATGTAAATGTAATATGTACTATGTTCAAGTATATCTCCTCTCTAGGCACTGTTTGGAGTGAACTATTTTAAATGACTGTATATACTGTTTTACCTGCAAAAACATTGCTTATTTAGCAGGTTGCCTGAAGTATCACTTAAATTTTACTTTAAGAGCGCCATATAATATAACTACCCTGTTCGAGGCCTACGTGACTGATGTTCTTGGAAACAACTGAGACATTCGAGCTGCACAAGAACACAGCACTGCCTAGTGTCCACTACTGTAACAAATGTACAATGTCTTGGTGGTTTTCGGGTTTTTTCCCAGTCTAATATCTCCATGTATGGAAGTAAGCAGTACATAAAACCTAGGATATTAAATTTACACATGTCCTACAGCCAGACTTTGTTCTTCACACTTATATTTAAAACGAGAAAAAAAAAAACACAATCTGTCTCTGACATTACTGCATTGAATGCATTTATCAAACTGGGAAAGAGAAACATTTCTTGTAGGGACTGGGTTTCCCTTTGCACTTAACCCTTTATGGCTAGCTAGGCCTGCCAAGTGTCACTGTCTCACGTGCTGAAGACCAACTGCAGGGGTTAAATTGTATCCTATTTTAATCTACACATTGAGCAGGTGTGTTACTGTAAAACCCAATGCACATCTGTGTTAGTTGGTTCCCTTCCAGCTAACTACTCTAAGTTGGATTTACGCTACCTTACTGCTCCATTTCTGGATAGGGTACAAGTGAGTCATCAAACTACAGTCACAACACATTAATGAAAATAAAGGAAGTATAAAATATTGCAGGTTTCTCACCAATAACTTGCCTTACCTTCTCAAGAGAATTGGTTTAGAAGGGGGTTTGAAAACATGAGCTTTAAAACCTAAATAACAGGCACAAAAAGCCCAGTTTACAATGACAGGAAGGAGGAAATGGTTCCCCCCAGAAGAGCTTTTTACTTGCCATACTTAGACGTCTCTTTCATTTGTCAGATTTAAAGGGGGATTATAGGCTATGCTGTTTTCCAAACCAATAGAGAGTAATATTTACTGTAAGTTAACTATGCTAGCTTCTGCGCCTGTATACCTGGGCTAGACAAACACCAGTTGTCAAGTTTTTGTTGACTGGGAAGTATTGACTATGAGCTGACCCACTCAGACCCCCTTGTCAAGTAACCTTCTTCACTGTGTGCGGGGAAGCGGGAACCAGTTTCCACTATGATCTGCATTAGGTAACTTTCCTACAAGACCAAGATGGTCATCTCCATACAGAGACAAAGTGTAGAACAAGGCACTGTACATTAGTAATGAGGAAAATATTAGCCAAGATAAACATAGGCAATACTGGTGACTAGTCCTTTGGGGAGCTGTACACATGACTGCTGGAACCGGAGCAAAGAACTAGTTGGGGTCCTAAACCGTTAGACATCTTTGGCATTGCAAAAATCTAGGCCTTCAAAACACATGGACACTCTGTATTAATGTTCCGTCTGATCCCGAGAAATTCTACAGAACCACCAACAGCAAGAGTTGCTCCAGAATATCCCGGCACTATAGAAAAGAAGTGAACACAAATGAAACCTTTTCTAAGAGAAACCTGCAAGCTTCCACTGATGACTTTATATGCCACAAATGCTAGGTACCTGGCCGTCAGGCTTTACCTCTATCTAAAATATTTCAAGTCACTGGCCATGAGCAAGTATGTAGATAAACAACTTCAGACCATTCTTTAGTCTTTTGACCTGCATTTTATTTTCTAGGTCAGTTACTCGGAGAGTACTGAAGACTTGGAATAACACTTATTCTCCTGTAATAATACTGAGTCGAAAGGCGTCTCTTCTCTTAAACCAAATACCCCACCCCAGTATGAACAATCAAAGTTAGCATAATAGTTAGGCAAGTAGCATTTTCAGACGGAAAAGGAAAGGCCTACTTTAAATGAAATAACAATGACTGGAAGGTATACATAATAATGAGTTAAGGGAAATCTGTAGCGTAGTCTTACAAATCCTCTAATCAGCAGTGTCTGACAGCCTGTACAATCCCAGCTCATTTTCTACATTTACCAGATGAAAAATAGATTGTGACGGGCTACATCATGGTCGACTAGCTCTTATCACAGGCACCCTGGGGAAAGCATGAGTGAAGATTGTAAAATGACAGGAGTTATTTAATCCTCACATTTTTCTTTACTACAACTTCATGTTCACAAAATAGCAAAGAAAACTAAAGACAACAACATTGCCTAATTATGAAAAGCAGCGGGGAAAAAAAAAATTAAGAGAAAGAAAAATTGCAGAGCTGCCAAAAGATTTAAACTGCTGACTTAACTCTGTATCTGAAGCAGACCAATGACAGCTGGAATACGATTTTTTGATTCTTTTTGCACCAATTATCACAAAATTCACCAATGTATTTGAAAGGCTAGCTCCATTTACAACAGTTTTTTTTTCAGTTTTGTATGGCTGCCTGCAAGTCTAATTATTCTCTGCCTTCTTATATGTGCCAGGTATGGCCTTAACTACTGTATGCGTTAAAGAGGGCCCATAACAAATACCCCCATCCTCCACACACACTCTAATCTCCATCTCAAAGGCAATTCACCTCGGGAGATACCAAAAACCCTTAGCTTTTATAGCAATAATAGTGCCTTTTAAACTACATTCACAATAATTATATCCAAGTGTATTGTTAAAAAATGAATGCTGCCTGCATACATTTCTATTAAGCTAGACATTGATGGGCCCCTTCTGCTTCTGGCCCCTGTAGCAAACAGATGATCAGCTATAGAACAAGTACAGGTGAGGCGCTGGATTCAAATATTCAGAGGATTGGTTGGAATGTGATAAAGCACAATGGCTCCGGTGAGGCAGCTCTCAACAGAAACTGGACATCGCACAAACAAGGAAATCCAGGATTGAATATATATGCATATTCAGTATACAATTCGATGAGCGCAGCAAACAAGAGAGAATGAGATTCAAAAATAATAATCGAATGGGTTCACAAACAACAACACAAAACAGCCAATGTGTTTCAAGAGTTCAAAGACCTCCCTATTCTTTAGGGCTTAAACATGATAGGTAGTATTATGGAGTAAAAAACTGGCACAAATCACAAGGGATGAATTACTTGCTGTGTAGGGTGTTGCCAGGATCAAAGAATTAGTAAAATTCTATCATAATTGCTGCCTGTGTAAATCTCTATGCAGCTAGGCAGAGATGGGTCCCTTCGGCTTCTGGCCCCATAGAAAACAGGTGATCAGCTATGGCTGAAGTTACCCACTTGTTCCCAAGAATTACATGGGGGAGAGATCTTTGCCAGAATTTTCGCCTAAGTGCCAAAGTCATAAAAACATCAAACTGCTACCTTATTTTATAAAGTAATAAAATATAATTGGGGGGGGGTTCTGCTTTAAGAACCTGACACCTTTGCTAAGGCCCTTTGGCGGGAGGCAGAGACAAGCGATTCTGGCTAATCACACCACTGGAGTCTTAAGTGATTTTTTTGTAGAATAGTTATCACTGTGGTGAAAACCCAACATCTAAATATTGCGTTTGGATAAAGGCAGCCTATGAAATAATGTATTGTGTATAGAGAACAAATCTGGGTAAATATGCACTTTAAAGTGGTACAAAACTCTTAGGTGTTTTTATCTTAATTCACTGCTAGTAAGCAGTGTAGCATGCCCCAATATATGTGAGTGGACTAGTGTGGCAAGCAATTACAATAAACACCTCCTCTCTGCTGCTCGGTCCCGGCCGCAGAGCGCAGGTTTCTTAACTTCCAGGTAGAGCAGGTTTCTCAACTTCCAGGAGGCGGCAGGAGGAGTGTCTTACAGTGTTAGGCAATTGACGAACGCCAAGAGGGAGCACGCAAGGGTGTCTCTGTGGGACCTTGTAGGAGCAAGGGGACTCCAGGCAATAGGACAGCGGCATTAGCGCTGAAGGATGGCTCGAAATGTCTTGAAGGAATATGTTGTTCACATCAAGAAGCATCACATAAGGTCTTTACACGAGCATTGAGAGGGGGGAGGGGGGGGGATACGTAGCTTTTAGTGTCACTTTAAATTTAAGCTGTAATTTACATGGGCCTCCTGCATAAGTTTTATAAACAAACTTCATACTTCACAGATCAATTTCTCCTGCGTTTAAATGTACCTGCATTTAACATGCATTAGACACGTTCAGAGTATCTAATCTGTCCCTGGACACACAGATTTCTATTTTTTTTCTTTGCAAATTTTTTTTTGAGCATCACACCATTTAAGATCATTGCATTTAAATGTGTTTGTCCTATAAATACATTTGATCGCATGTCTGTGTGAAGAGGTCTAAAAGAACTGTATTAGAGAAATAGAAATTTCAAAAGGATATGCATAGTGTAAAAACAATATATAACATATTTGCACAAGTAAGCGGTAGTTGAACACACTAGTTTCTAATCATTCCTTGAAACCTATTTGCTTTTCATACTTCTATCCACTGGATAGCACACATCAGATGTGCTCTTCCTTCAGGAACATACTATGGCAGACTATTTGTCCTAGCACAGCAGTACACAGGATTCTTCAGGGATTTTTAACCGACTGAATCAATTGGCAAATATGGAACAATGATATGACTTATCTTAGGGCTAGTTTCAAAGCTCACCATTAGATGAAAGCATTTAATTTGTTGAGTTTTTACCAAAATTTCTCCATGTTTTCCCAAAGGTAAATTATCTATCCATCTAAGGTATGATAATAATTGTAATACAATAGCTTGGGGTTATGTTCTAACTTAGGAGAGTGAGATCATTGTAGGTGTGGTCTAAACAGCTAAGGATTAGTGATGAGCTGGGGCTTAGTGTGAACCCAGTTCGCCCAAGCCAGCTCAAAACTGTGACTGCCACCCCCTCTATCTGGCCCAATCAGTTATGGAGAGGCACATTCTCCACCCCGTAGCTAAAAGTCAGAAAGGGGTGGGAAATGTCCTGCCACAACTGCTGCCACTGACTGGGCTCGGGGAAGGGAGGAGTGGTAGTCAGAGTTTTGAATCGGCTTGGGCAAACTCAGGCAAACTTGGTTGGCACCAAGCCCAGGCTCATCTCCACTAGGGACCATAGTAAGCAAAACATTAAGGTGAGCAAAAAATAGGTCATCCAAAATATGCACAGCCACATGAACCCCATAGTAATACAAGACTGAATACAATGCCTAGACGTTATACCCTCCTTATGATCAACTACAGGCCCCATAGAAGACAGGTTTTTACTTGCACCTCCGGTCTACAGTGGAGTGTCCTTGTTACAATATATATATATATATATATATATACCCAATCCCACACTTTCTGGTATATCTCAGTAATGCTCTTATTCAAAATTACTTATTTTCCATGAGACATTTGGTACCTACCTCCTCTTGTAGCAAGGATGGTGCCACCATAGGAGAAAACAATACAGGAAGTTTCTGTACCTGGTGTGTGAGCCTGTCTGCAGTGAAATTTTGTGTGAACCTAAAAAACAAATAAAAGAGAATTATATATTGGATGCTGTAAACATTGCATTGTTGATAGATGTTATGAAGAGATGCGCTTTTTAGGAATCAGGATGTAAATTACTTCTCTTTTACAGGTTAGATGTACACAGTCATGATGTACACTGTAATAAACAGACCTGTGATTCAAATTTAAATCTCATGTGAATTAATAGAACACATGTTCGCTATTGAAACAGTACCCCTTTCTTGCCATGTGAAGAACTGCTGTTGCCCAGCCTAGCCAGCCAAGGTCATGTGGTCTCTAGCTACCAATCATTACTGCAGACTCTCTACTGTTTGCAGTTACCAATGAGAAAAGAGGATGCCCCAATGTACATACATAGATATTTAAAAATTATACCCAGAAACCAGGTTTATAATACATAAATACACATTGATAACACTGCCTACATTAATTATAAGTAAAGATAAATAAATTGCCAAAGCTGAGCTTTAAGTTGATCTCTTTCACGTGTACACTTAAAATGTAGCGACAGAAGCAGTTCAATTAATAAATAGCTAACTAACTACTTTAGTTGGCATTTCTTTTATTTTCTAATAAATTCCTGGAGTTCAGCTTTGATGAACTTTATTTTTTTTTTTTACATTTTAGACATAAAATACACGTAAAGTGAGGAAAATAATTATTTATTTATTTGATCCCTTGCAGAAGTTTGCCCACTTACAAAGAAATTAACCCCATTCTTACCCCATGAGCTCCAGACGGAGGGCAATTGATTGTTTTTTCTTGCCCATGGTGGTGAGGTTTGAATGGAAGAAAGATTTTGTGGACAGGTGACTTTTATATACATAACGAGTTGTCGTTAGGAGCACCTTATTAAAATTGACAGAACTAATCTGTGTACCACATAGCCAGTCTGGGAGGAGCCAGAATTATTATTGGTTGGTAGGGGATCAAATACTTATTTTACTCACTGAACTGCAACTCAGTTTATAACATTTGTATCATGTGTTTTTTCTGGATCTTTGGTTGATATTCTGTCTCTATCATTTAAAATACACCTGTGATAAAACGTATAGACCTTTCATTTCTTTGTAAGTGGATAAACTTACAAAATCTTCAGAGGATCAAATCATTATTTTCCTCACTGTAAAGTGCACAGAATACAGCAGGAAAATAGTTATTTTTCCTTTGATCATTTATCTTTAAATAATTTCAAGCTATCCTTAAACAAGTTTATTGGTGATTTATGGTTGACTTAACAGAACAAAACACAAAGAAATAATTTCTTGTAAATTACAGAATGAAGTAGACACTAGGTACGGGAGCCATGCCAAAACCCTCTCCAATCTGATTCTGGAAAATGTCATTTTCCTCAAAATCAAAACCCCAAGGTTCCCTTGTATTTTTTTGCTCCCTTTTTTGAAGGCAGACACAATACGCAAGCAAGAACCAGAATTTTGTTAATGAATCATACGCACGAGACTGGAAAAGGAGGAATAAAATAATGTAGTTGGAGGCGAGAGGGGGTGTTAAGATAAATTGTGGTAAAAAAATGCACACACTTTAATACATCACCTGTTTCTTGACACGGGAACTAAAAAATATATATATTACGAGCAACAGAAGTGCAAGTGAGAAATAACAGACTGCATACAATAGGTTTTTTTTATTTTTTAGTAGCAGGGGGAAGAAAGCCCCTCTACTTTTTGAACTGGACTCGATCCGTGAACATTTCTCAGGCCGATCAAAGATGTCATTGCTCGCTGAACCTATGTGCGTCTTTCGGCTTTCTTGGACATTAACAACATGTTTTTAGGAGACCTTTCCAAGAACACTGCGGATTAAGACAATAAAAATGGAATATGGACAGAACGCGTTTATGATTGTGGGAGAAAAACACCAGACGGCCGTGACAAGTGTAAGAGAGGTCATTAATGGTGCCGGGTAACGATGGCTAATGTAAATGGATGGATCTGCACATTTACAGGAAGGGACAAAGAAAAACACTTTCTCAAAAATATACATGCTATTTCTGGGACAAAACATTTGGGAAAGAACTGTATGTTCATCAGACTAAACTCGCAGAACTTAAAGTTAAATAACCAAGGGAAAAAAAATTGTATGGGTCATTAGAAAAGAAAAATTACACAAGGACTACAAAAAAAAGCAAATGTAAATTCTGTTGTAGACATGCAGATTAATACTAGATAAGGTCCAGGGGTAAGCATACTCTGACCCTCCAGCTGTGGTGAAACTACAAATCCTATCATGTATCTCCCTCTGTAAGTCATAATTTTGCAATGCCTCATGGGATTTGTAGTTGCACCACAGCTGGAGGACTGGGGTTAGCCTACCCCTGGTATAGATGCTGAATGGCAGCCAGACACATTGGCCTGAGCCAGCTGTCAAAGAATTACATTTTTTAAGCACTGTGGTATAAAATGTGTATGCTCGTATCACCTGAGCTTGCATTATTATGCCAAAGAGAAGAGATGGTGCCAATTTATTTTGGGAGAAACAATAGTAAAGGAATGCCCAAACACAACCTGCCTGCCTGACTACTCCAGAGGAAGGATCAGTTGGAGGCATCTCTTGATAATGTAAGTAATTACCATTGCCACTCAATCCCTCTAACATTCACTGGGCAATGGCCATCAAAGGCTAAGAGTAAAAAAAAACCTGCTAAAAGTGTAATTTCAAATCATTATCAGGTGTGATAAGAGCACTTGTATTATCAGAAAACTTTAAGGGTTCCTTAACTCACGTTAACACACTGAATTACCGTGTTTTAGGGCAGACCATTCATTTTGGCACTTTAGTGAGCTGTGGTGCAGCTCCAGTTGTCCTCCACTATTTTTCAACTTTCTTTAATAGACCAAGCTGTCCAGCAAAACTGGCAGATAGAGGGCTGAGACAAACCATTTAACACTGACAGAGTTGCTCATAATGGTCAGCTTTTATTCCTTTATGTAAAACCTTTATCCCAAAAGGGATAACAAAAATAAATGGTTGCTGTAACTGCTTAAGGCCCCATTCACGCTGAGCGACGAGCGATATTGCACGACTTGCGATATTGAGCGACTTTTTCCTATTGGGCTGTATGCAATCAGGAGCAAAATCGCTTGAAATCACTCGAAAAAAGGGTCATGTAGGAGCTACAAGCGATATTGAGCGATATTGAGCGACGAGATGTGAACAGCTCCATTTAAATGGATTGGAGAAGCTACATAGAGCGATATCGCGTGGAATATGAGCGAGATCGCTGCAAAAATCGCTCTATAAATCGCTCAGTGTGAATGGGGCCTTAAGGGTAACTGGACCCACCAGTTTAACGGTTTCCCAAAACAGATACTTTTAAGGCATGCCAACTGTGAAGATCGCCAGTGTGCTTATTTCAGCTCTCAGCTGAACTTTCAAGCCCTCAAATGGCTGGTCTCACAGCCAATCACATGTGCAGCACCATGGCAAATGCAATGCAAAAAGAGGCTAAGATGGCACCTACACTGGCTCTAAGGGATAGGAGGGTGTAGTTCTGCTTTAAAAAGTGTTAGCTGGAGTTCAGATTTGTTATCAAGTCCATCTAAATCAAGTTAATCTAACACTACCCTCCCCACAGGGTGACAATACTGCTATGTATGGGTGTATCCAATAGAGTGGAGCTAGATCAACAGGTGAAAATAAAGAGAAAAAAGGCCTTTAAAAAAAGAAGCTGGATGCAGCCACCACATGTAAGGATTTGTAAACTGCAATATATTAAATTATTGTTTTTGGGCTTAGATAGGCTTTAAACATAGCAATCACGTGACCTCTATCCCGATGTCTTGCTCTATGAAGGTGAGGGCTGGGATAGAAGCACGGCTGCAGTGGAACATCACAGACTCGGACGGCCCACCGTGCTGTTCCCTGCCAGAACTGCTATCAATCATGCAGATTCATATACAGGTTGGACAAGATTATAGGCTGAGCATCAGCACATCACGGCACTGTCAACTTAGTAAAGAGAGCAACATTGGTAAGATAAAAGTTTTCTTTTGCCAGCATAGACACAATGGAATTGCAATGCAGGTTGAAGGGTTCCTCTCCTGATCAGTATGAGTGATCTGGAGTGTTACAGTTTAACAAATAATCTAGCTATTGCCTACTATATGCTGACAGCGCAAAGCCACACTCCAATTCACTCTCACCATAATTCTCCTTTAAAAAATGTTACATACATTTGCATGCAAACGGAAATTTGTATGTAAAGGATAAATCAGGAGCCCACTGGAAATCAGCCTGTGCAATCCTATTATAGCAAGGAACTGTTTTCCTTTTTGAGATTAGTCAGAAAAATATATAATACTTCATATGAATATTTATTTACCACCAACAGATGGTAAGTGCGAGGCAACAGAGCTAACTAAGCATTAGGCTTTTTTACTGCTATGTTGCGAACAGCCTGTGTTGTAACTTGAGTAGCAAGATACCAGATTAAACACCCAACTGAATAAAGTCAACGAAGGGACACACTCCTCCTTCTCTCCTGGATGGCGCCTATCTGAATTTTAAAGGAGAACTATGGGGTTAGGGCTTTTCCCCATAGTTCTCCTAAGGGTAACGGGAGGACACAAACTAGCATCCTTCCGTCACCCAAAGCTCAGCTCACGGTATACTGAGACGCCGCAGCCGGAACGGATCCTGACAATTATGTCTGGATCCACCCAGCTGCGTGAGTGACAGCTGGCTCTGCCTATTTAGAGGCAGAGCCAGCTGTACCTGCCCCCTCCCCCGTCCGTTCGGCCAGTCAGCGCTGGAGGATCAGACAGGGGAGGGGGGAATCCAGTCCTTCCCGTCACAACTCTCTTCCGGCACAGGATCGAGAAGTGAGCGAGCGCCGGTATGTGTTCGCTCACTTCCCGATCTATTGAGCCGACCTGTGACAGTTTCATTGTCACAGGTCGGCTAGAACTATGAGGCTGAGTGAAAATCACTCACCTCATAGTTCTCCTTTAATAGGTCAACAACTACAAAGC